TTATTTTCATTAATAATTTCTTAATACTTAAATCAATTAAAAATTGTTTGATTAAAAATTATTATAATATTAAATAAATAATATAAAAAAACATAAAAGCACGGGTACAAAAAAAACGAGTTTTTAAAAAATATATCTTTGGCACACATGGGAGATGAGTAAGTCGGCTTAGACTTTGAAGCTAAATTTTTTTTTTTTTTTTGGTGGAAGACTTTGAAGCTAACTTAGCTGAAGCATTTAATGCTCCAAGTATCAAAATATTTAAATATATTTAAAATTTCATACCTCAATTTTTTTAAGCCAGCTTAAACTTTTGTAGTCGACTTGAAAGCAATGTTTTTAAACCTGAATTGGAAGTCAAACCATTTTAACTTTTGGTTCATAATTTAAATGGTTTAAACAGTAAAACCATCGAGTTGATCATATAGTATAAATATATTATTATGCAAAGTATTTAACAAGGTGTTCATTGGATGTGGTGGTGGATAACTTCTTAGTTATAAGAAAGTTCACAAGTTTGAGTCTCTTGAGAACAAATTTTAATATAATTATGGTTTTAAAAATATAATAAATATTATTATAAAACAAAAAATAGAAACTTGTGTCTCGAGTAGAAGAGACTTTGTTTCATAATATAAAGAATGGGTGTTCAAATCCCATTGTTGTCATTCATAATTTGATTAAAAGTTTTGAAATTTTTATTACATAAATAAAATTCCAAAGATCTATTTACATAGGGATTGCATTGTCCTGGTGGCAAAGAGTTGGAATAAAAAGTTTAAAGGTTGCAAGATCAAACTTCACAGGAGACAAATTCCTCAAGCATTTTTTCTCAAGTATTGAACTGTTCGGTTTAACGATTTCTCAGTTTGAATAGTTTTAATGGTTTTTATTGGTTTTAAATGATTTGACCATTCAAACGGTTTAAAAAATGCATTTGAATTGTTTATATTATTGGATATTGGTTCAACCAGCCAATTTGGTCCGGTTTTCAAAACCATGCTCGAAAGAAAACGAAAAGCGCGGAAGCTAAAGCAAAGCCAACTTATTGGTCAAATCTACTACAATGTTCTTTTCTTAAACCTCATCAGATTTGCAATGCATTTGATGAAGTCAAACGACTAGGGAGAAGCATTTTTAACCACGGAAATATAAAGGTTAAATGTTAATTTTGGTCCCTTAACTTTATAGAATTGTCTTTTTTGATCCATAAATTATTTTTTGCATTTTTTTGATCTCTTAACTCTAAAAACTGCACAATTTTCGTCCTTCTATCAATTTGAACTGTTAACTCCATCCACATGGCATGTTTTATATTTTTTTGATGACATGGAAAAAATAACTTAAAAAGGTGATGATATGGGCAAAACATTATTTATTAAATTAAAATAGTTTTAAAATGACAATTTTACCCTTACTCCATCTTTTAACTTTGGTCTCCTCTTTGTTTTTGGCTTACCTTTCTCCATTCTCCACTGCTCTCTTTTTCTTCCTCCTTCTTCTTTGCCTCTCTCTCTCGCTCTTTACCTAGATCTAGGTTCCACGGAACCTAGCGATTTGGGTTCATTTGAACCCAGCTTTGGGTTTTGCAAAACCTAGTGATCTAGGTTCGTTTGAACCCAATTCTAGGTTCTGTGAAACCCAACAATCTGGGTTCGTTTGAACCCAGAAAATTGGATTTGTTCGAACTAAGATATGAGTTTCGTAGAACCCAACGATCTGAGTTTGTTTGAACCTAGCAACATGCGTTCAGTGAACCCAAATTTTTGGGTTTTCAAAACCATGTTTATAGATTTTTTTTCTTTGTTTGATGGATTTTTGTTTTGAATATTATGGTTGTGGGATGGCAATTTAGTATTTAAAATGCTACAAAATTTTGTTTATATGTTTTCGTTTAGCTATTCCTTTTGTGAGTATGTGAACATTAAGCTAGATTGAGGTAGTATGAATTTGATTTGGTTTTGTTGCAAGTTAATCATCGGTGTAGAAAAAGAGAGAAATTTATTAAATCTTGGTTTTGGTTTTGTTGTTAGATTTCATTTTCATTTTGTGCAATAAAAAAGATTATGTTGGTTTAGTACAAGTTTAATTATAATTAATAATTTTAATTATTTAAATTAACGAGTGTTTAATCTTAATATTACTATGTAAGCTTTTTTTTTTTTCCAATTGGATTATCCATGTCATTATTTTTTTCAGTTGTCTTCTCTATGTTATAAAAAAAATATAAAAAATACCACGTGGACAGAGTTAACATCTAAATTGATAGAAAGATCAAAATTGTACACTTCTTAGAATTGAGAGATAAAAAAGTACAAAAAATAATTTAAGGACCAAAAAAGTGCAACTCTATAAAGTTGAGAGATCAAAATTAACATTTAACCAAATATAAATATGGTTGGTAGGGGTTTTGAAGACAAAACATAGATGTAAGATGGATTAAAAAGGAAAATCATAGATGTAGTAAAAATAATACATTTAAATTAATGTAAATTTAAATCAATGAAATACAAAAATGGGTAACTTTTAAAAGTATTCTATATTAAAAAGATTGAAGTGGCAATAGACAAATTATATAAAATGAAGGAACTCGAGTGCAAATAAGCGAGAAACAATACAGTAGCAGTTCCGCCCGCGCCACAAAACAAAAGAACAGTGAAAACCCACCCACGAAGTCTGACATTTTACAAAGAATCTTCCACTCCGATGCCCAATGACTCAGTCACAATTTCCTCTCTCTCTAACCAGATTCTCAATTCAGGTTAGGGTTAGGGTTAGGGTTTTGGTTCCTGTTCTGTGATACGCTTAAGAAAATGGAGGCCGAGAAAGGGTATAAAAACAAAGAGCGCATTACGCTCGTGGCCATTGTGGTGCTTGCTTCGGTAGCCGTAGCTTCGCTGCTTGTGGCTTTTAGTTACTATTGCTATATACGCAACAAGGTCTCCAAACGTCTTAAATCTAACAAAAGTAAGCCGTATTTCCCTTCTATAAGGTTACTCAGAAAGTAAAGGAAAATGCTTGAAAAATAAGAAAATGAATTCATCTGATTTAAATGAAATTATGCTTCTTCCATTTTCTTAGCCGTTTACACTTGATTTCAGGATAGAGAAATATGCGAGTTTAAATATTGATGTTTTCTAATCTTAATGCAAAAGATAACCATGTTGGTATCAACCATGGAGTGGCTTTTTGTCGATTTCTGATATTACCTGATGATCGTTGTTGATTTCATTGTCTTCAAAGTGGTTGCTTTTGTGGAAAATGATGGCTTTGGAAGTCTCCAAGTTTCTTCTGAGAGAGGACCTCTGGTATTCACCTTTAAGCAGCTACATTCAGCAACTGGTGGTTTTAGCAAGTCAAATGTGGTTGGGCACGGTGGATTCGGGTTAGTATACAGAGGAGTGCTTAATGATGGGACAAAAGTTGCCATTAAGTTCATGGATCAGGCTGGAAAGCAGGGAGAAGAGGAATTTAAAATGGAGGTTTGGTCCGAATGTAATACTAATTTCAAATTATTTTATAAACCAGTCTGGTAATTTAACCATAATAGGCAGAGAGTTAAGAGTTATGAGATTATTGTCTTCATGTTCGATAAAGGAGACTTCTATTTATTAGTTAACATAATTTTTTTATTTTGTCTAATGTTATATTATAAATTGTTTAACTTAAGGAGGTTAGAATCCACTTATTTTGTGTCAGACAAAAAATCGTTAAACATTTATTGGAAATTCATTTCACATGGTGTAATTTGACTGTATATTTTTTATTAATATTACCAAAATGGCTTATAATAGATGTAAAACTTTCTAATCTTACACCTGAATCCTGATGTTCATGGATCCTATTTTATAAAGGAGAAAATGTACTTATTGAAGGCTAATAATTCAATTAATATTCCTTTTTCTAGAAAATAAAAGACATACATTTCTTTTCATTCTTTTTTCATGATAGGTGGAATTGCTGAGTCGGCTGCATTCTCCATACTTGCTGGACTTGATTGGGTATTGTTCAGACAACAATCACAAATTACTGGTGTACGAGTTTGTGGCCAACGGTGGTTTGCAAGAACACTTGTATCCTGCCAGAGGTGAGTTATTATTATTATTTTTTAATCTAGAATGATTTTAATACAGATAAATGAATCATTTTTCAACACATCAGAAAAATATGAAAGATATTGTTTCCTATCTTAGATTTTCTTTTTCTCTGTGTGTGTGAAAACTAAAAACTTATCAACTGGTTTGTTCAAAATTATGAAGTTCATCAACAATAGATAGCAGCATGATAATGCTACCAATATAAATGTCCAAGCAGGATAAATAAAAAATAAAGATATAATGTGTGATAGAATTCATTGATGCTTTAGGCCAACAAAAAGTTGTTTCTTTTATGTTTTGGCAAATTGGTTTTTACTTTATGCTTGCTTTCTTTGATTGCATCTTGCAAAATGTTTATTTATTTTTTATTACATAACTTTTGGCAAATATGATTTCCTATTCATTTAGTTTTGTACTAGTATTTTTTCTGAAATTGTATCTGGTTTGTTGATTAATTTGGACCAATCTACCAAGATTATGGAAAATTTTACTAGAAATCTTGATAATTTAAAAAGGTATGAGGCCCTGTAATATGCTCCATGAGTGAGATGTTTCTGTGAAAGAACCTATTTACCTGCTAACATGATAATCACCTGCTTCAATTGGTTTCATACTTGTTTTCTCTCGTTTATTTTCATCTGCTCAAGCTTGTAATGTGAATCTTGTAATAACATCCCATTGATTGAAGCAGGATCCAGGTTCATTCGAAAGGAAAATGAAAATTTCATGTTAATAGATGTTGGCTCCTAGTTCTGTTTGACTAAAAGTCTGGGGAGCCATCAATTGACTGCAACTTATTATATATGTGCAGTCGTGAAAAAAAGCAAAATTGAATTGCAGTGCAGTGCCATTATTTGCACTTCAATTCTAGCTTTTGGCTGTCTGCCTTCTTTTAATTGATAAATGTAATGCACTCATTTGTTTGAAGTCCATGGCTAAAGGCAGTGTGTTAATAAGGATGCTGAAATTTGTTAAACTGTCCTATCCCATCAATTTTGAAGACATTGATTCTTTTTGGGAAATTTTGGTGGGAGACAAATTTTTCCCCTGTTTCCATCTCTGCAAGGAATGGGGATCCCGCTATCTGCTGTATCGATTATTATAGAAAAACCCAGATTCTTAGTTGTGCATTTCAAAGTAAACAACCCTCATGACTAGCTAGTGATCAAGTGCTTATTCCCATGTGCAGGTATAAATTATTACATTTGAATTTAATTGGTTTAGTTCTCGTTGTGCAGTGATATTGAGATTTTTTAAACCCTTAAAGTTTATTTAGGTTTTAGGTATTAAGCCAAGTATCTAATGTTCTAATCTTAGTTTGGCCTGGTACTTCATGCACAAACTTGATTTCACCCTAGACGTTATCCAAACTCAGGCTGATCATTTAATTGTGTAGAGCTATGATCCATATTTTGCCAAATTCTGATCTGGCTTGCCTCATCTGGGAATGTGCAGTGAGGTAGGGCTGATCTTTTCTTTCTCTAGTTTTTCAAAGAAGAAAGTAACTATCAAGAAAATGTATGTAGATTAATGGAGCTAGAGCTAAGAAAAATACGACAGCTTCTCAATGACATTCTAATATCTGTTGAGTGGTCTAACTTAAGAAAGCACAAATAGACTGGCCCTGATAACTCCTAATTCATTAAAAGAAATTGGAAGAAGTCTTCTTTCATGTGTATTTGGATAATGGATATAACACAGCATCTGCTAGGAGACAATTGTGAAGATGAGGAACTTTGTTATAATAGCTTCAATCTGTAGGATAGAAAGCTCAATATAATCAAGGACAGTGTAAATGATTGAGAAACTTGATTGTTCTAGTTGTGCAGTTTGACTCTTTCGGTATGATGATTAGGACTCATCATGGATCCTTTTTGGTATAATTTTTCTTAAATCAATGGCATTTTGCAAGAATATTCATGGTTAAGTGAACAGCTGATTAGCAGCCATCTGGACTGTAACTTCTTAAATTGAATCATATTGATGTGCTTGTTTTACAGTCTGCATCATTTTTGAAGTTGGTCTGATTCATTGAACGTAAATTTGTACCATATAATTGTCATCCTGGATGAGTCAAACAAAACTATTGATACAAAGGAAATTGACCTCACCCATGTTTAATAAGCACGAACTTTGTTGGAGTTTCTATGTAATAGAAATAGTGTTTTAAGAATTAGTTTTACTGGTTAAGTTGAAAAATGCAGTTTCTAGTACGGTCAATGTAAAGTTGGACTGGGAAACCCGACTGAGAATAGCGCTGGAAGCTGCAAAGGGCCTGGAGTATCTCCATGAACATGTTAACCCTCCTGTGATTCACAGAGATTTTAAGAGCAGCAACATCCTTTTGGATAAAGATTTTCATGCCAAAGTCTCAGATTTTGGATTGGCCAAGCTTGGATCTGACAAAGCTGGTGGACACGTTTCGACTCGAGTGTTGGGCACCCAAGGATATGTTGCCCCTGAGTATGAGCCTGTGAACTCTTTGTCCCAACTCAAAGATGATTTAATTCATTACTTCTCAATACTGTTACAGATTACAAATGCACAATATCAAATATTGAGTTGTTTGGTTGTCATGCTCTGCAGGTATGCTTTAACTGGCCATCTGACAACAAAATCTGATGTCTATAGTTACGGTGTTGTCCTTTTGGAGTTGCTTACTGGCAGAGTCCCAGTTGATATGAAGAGACCTCCTGGAGAAGGCGTTCTTGTATCATGGGTGAGTTTCCTTCTTACTGTCAGCAAATTCCATGCTTTATGTTGCTTAGTGTTGTTATAGTTATGAACCACATCTTATCTGCCTAAGATGATCTTGAGCCTCTTCTTTCCATTTTTTTAGGCTGACATTTGCTTTCTCTTTAATATACAAGTTTTCTTCTGTGTTTTTCCTTTTTCTGTCTGGGGCAAAGGCTTTGCCTAGGTTGACCGATAGAGAGAAGGTTGTACAGATTATGGATCCTGCATTGGAAGGTCAATACTTAATGAAAGAGGCCATTCAAGTGGCAGCAATTGCTGCCATGTGCGTACAGCCAGAGGCCGACTACAGGCCGTTGATGGCAGATGTTGTGCAATCGCTGGTGCCTCTGGTGAAAAGTCACAGGTCATCATCCAAAGTAGCCAGCAGCTCTAGCTTTCACTCTGTCAGGTCTCCTACAGCCCGGGACCTGAGTAAAGCAGTAGTCTGAAACAAATCATTGGAAATAGACGAGTGCAATCATGTTTTGCTGAACTTTGATTGTTCTTGTCCTCTGGACGAGAATCTGGAATCTTGACCTAAAAGTTTATGTATTCAAACTGCCTTTGATTCCCGGTTTTGACCCACGATCCCATGCATATTACAAAGGCTGGTTAGCCACCAATCATGTGAGATGCTTAGCTTTATCAACTGCGATTTAAAAATTTTGCCTTTAATCTCTTATACCATTATGGGGAATAAAATATCTTGCTCATTGTCGAATACCAATTATTGGGATTTAACTTACTAAAGAATTATGCAAGTGAATAATAGTAAAGCAAAAAGAAAAAGAAAAATAGAAAACAACAATTAAACATGAGAAATCTTTAAGGAAAAAAATTTTTTAGTGGGTTCATCAAATTTTTCATTTAAATTAAGTGAAAGTGGAATTTAAAGTCTTATATAAGTGAAAATATTGTAACTAAATATTTTATAAATGTATTAAAATTTTTTGAAAGGTCTATAATACTTTTTTTAATAAATAATTAAAATATTAAGTATTCTTTATTTTTAATTAAATAAATATTGCAATTTTAAAAAGGAACAATAAGTGAAACTCTATCTTTGATCTTTTATTATTTTGTCCGATGATTTTTGTTTTAATAGCTGAATTTAATTTAAAATTTTAGTTTTGATTATAAAAATTTTGAGTTTTTTTAATATGGTTCATTCAATTAACAATCTTTTATCATTGATCTTTATTTTTAAATTTTTTTAAGCAAAAAAAAAAAAAATCTTTTATCATTAATCAAAGCAAAATATTTCAATCAATTAAAATTTTAATGAATTAATCAAAAAATTAATTTTAAATATTGAGTGATTTGAAATTGAACAAAATATATTCACCTCTAATGATAAAAAAATACTAAAAGAGTGTGTAGGGAGAGTTTTAATTGTTATTTTTTAATTTTGTGGCAATTTATTTAACTAATATTAACAAAAATTTAATATTTTAATTATTACATTTAAAAAAGAGTATAATAGACATTATAAAATTTTTTGATACACTTATAATGAATTTTGTTAGAATATTTTCACTTATATAAAATTACAAATTACATCTTCAGTAAGTAGTAAAAAAAAATCTAATGAACATACCCTAAAATTTTTTTTCTAAATCTTTAATATAAAAAATCACAAAACATAATAAGAGATTCACTAATTAAAAGAAAAAAATTATTATAATTTAGTGCCACCCTTAACCCATAGGATTTCTGACCAAATCCTCTCCATTCTCTTTTCATCTCTCTATTCTTTCACTTGTCA